ATGTGCGATGAGTTTTTATCATTGGGTCGTTTGCCATCAAGCTGGGTCTAAAACTACTCGAACTTTGTCGACAATTTTTGGGCAAAAATCAACCTCGGCTCACGGTCGAAGCCGATGAGTCTCCGTGGTTATCACTTTGGCTATGATGTAGGTCTCAAAAACCTCAAACGAGTAATTATAGTTTCTCTATAAATTGTTTCAAGCTCGTTCACACCGACCCTTTCGGGAACTCGGAAGCTCACATGCCCATATTGCCTCGAAAAACAAAAAAAACGTATTTTCTCGACCTAAAGGTCATTTGTTTTTGCAAAAATCACCCCCGAGTCATGGCCATATGCGATGAGTTTTTATCATTGGGTTGTTTTCCATCGAACCGGGTCTAAAATTACTCGAACTTTGTGGACAATTTTTGGGCGAAAATCAACCTCGGCTCACGGTCGAAGCCGATGAGTCTCTGTGGTTGCCACTTTGGCTATGATGTAGGTCTCAAAAACCTCAAACCGGTAATTAAAATTTCTCTATAGATTGTTTCAAGCTTGTTCACACCGACCACTTTCGGGAACTCGGAAGCTCACATGCCCGTATTGTCTCGAAAAACTAAAAAAATGTATTTTCTCGACCTAACCGTCATTTTCTTACAACAATCACCCTCGGGTCATGGCCATAGGGATGTGTTTTTATCATTGGCTCGTTTGCCATCGAACTGGATCTAAAATTGCTCAAAACTTTGCCGGCCATTTTTTGGCAAAAATCAACCTCGGCTCACGGTCGAGGCCGATGAGTCTCTATGTTTGTCACTTTGGCTATGATGTAGGAGTAAAAAACCTCAAACTAGCAATTACGGTTTCTCTATAGATTGTTTCAAGCTCGTTCACACCGGCCGTTCCGGGAACTCAAAAGCTCACATGCCCGTATTGCCTCGAAAAACAAAAAAAACGTATTTTCTCGACATAAACGTCATTTTTTTTGTAAAAATCACCCCCGAGATCATGGCCATGTGCGATGAGTTTTTATCATTGGGTCGTTTGCCATCAAACTCGGGTCTAAAATTACTCGAACTTTGTGGACACTTTTTGGGCGAAAATCAACCTCGGCTCACGGTCGAAGCCGATGAGTCTCTGTGGTTATCACTTTGGCTATGATGTAGGTCTCAAAAACCTCAAACCGGTAATTACGGTTTCTCTATAGATTGTTTCAAGCTCGTTCACACCGACCCTTTCGGGAACTCGGAAGCTCACATGCCCATATTGCCTCGAAAAACAAAAAAAACGTATTTTCTCGACCTAAACGTCATTTTTTTTGCAAAAATCACCCCAGTGTCATGGCCATATGCGATGAGTTTTTATCATTGGGTCGTTTTCCATCGAGCTGGGTCTAAAATTACTCGGAACATTGTGGATAATTTTTCGGCGAAAATCAACCTCGGCTCACGGTCGAAGCCGATGAGTCTCTATGGTTGTCACTTTGGCTATGATGTAGGTCTCAAAAACCTCAAACCGGTAATTACGGTTTCTCTATAGATTGTTTCAAGCTCGTTCACACCGACCCTTTCGGGAACTCGGAAGCTCACATGCCCATATTGTCTTGAAAAACTAAAAAATTGTATTTTCTCGACCTAAACGTCATTTTTTTACAACAATCACCCCCGAGTCATGGCCATAGGGATGTGTTTTTATCGTTGGCTAGTTTGCGCGTCGAACAAAGTCTAAAACTCGCTCAAAACTTTGTCGGCCATTTTTTGGCGAAATTCAACCTCGGCTCACGGTCGAAGCCGATGAGTCTCTATGGTTGTCACTTTGGCTATGATGTAGGTCTCAAAAACGTCAAACCAATAATTACGGTTTCTCTATAGATTGTTTCAAGCTCGTTCACACCAGCCCTTTCGGGAACTCGGAAGCTCACATGCCCATATTGTCTTGAAAAACTAAAAAATTGTATTTTCACGACCTAAACGTCATTTTTTTACAACAATCACCCCCGGGTCATGGCCATAGGGATGTGTTTTTATCGTTGGCTAGTTTGCCGTCGAACAAAGTCTAAAACTACTCAAAACTTTGTCGGACATTTTTTGGCGAAAATCAACCTCGGCTCACGGTCGAGGACGATGAGTCTCTATGTTTGTCACTTTGGCTATGATGTAGGTCTAAAAAACCTCAAACTAGCAATTATAGTTTCTCTATAGATTGTTTCAAGCTCGTTCACACCGGCCCTTCCGGGAACTCTAAAGCTCACATGCCCGTATTGTCTCGAGAAAGAAAGAAAAACATATTTTCTCGACCTAAACGTCATTTTTTTTTGCAAAAATCAACCCCGAGTCCTAGCCATATGTGATGTGTTTTTATCATTGGGTCGTTTGCCATCGAGCCGGGTCTAAAACTACTCAAAACTTTGTCGACAATTTTTGGGCAAAAATCAACCTCGGCTCACAATTGAGGCCGATGAGTCTCTGTGGTTGTCACTTTGGCTATGATATAGGTCTCAAAAACCTCAAAACGAGCAATTACGGTTTCTCTATAGATTGTTTCAAGCTCGTTCGCACCAGCCCTTATAGGAACTCGGAATCTCACATGCCCGTATTTTCTCGAAAGACAAAAAAAATGTATTTTCTCGACCTAAACGTCATTGTTTTTGCAAAAATTACCCCCGAGTCATGGCCATATGCGATGAGTTTTTACCATTAGGTCGTTTGCCATCGAGCTGGGTCTAAAACTACTCGGAACTTTGTCGACAATTTTTGGGCAAAAATCAACCTCGGCTCACGATCGAAGCCGATGAGTCTCTGTGGTTGTCACTTTGGCTATGATGTAGGTCTCAAAAACCTCAAACCAACAATTACGGTTTCTCTATAGATTGTTTCAACCTCGTTCACACCGACCCTTTCGAAACTCGGAAGCTCACATGCCCGTATTGTCTCGAAAAACTAAAAAAATGTATTTTCTCGACCTAACCATCATTTTTTTACAACAATCACCCCTAGGTCATGGCCATAGGGATGTGTTTTTATCGTTGGCTCGTTTGCCATCGAATTGGGTCTAAAACCGCTCAAAACTTTGTCGGCCATTTTATGGCGAAAATCAACCTCGGCTCACGGTCAAGGCCGATGAGTCTCTATGTTTGTCACTTTGGCTATGATGTAGGTCTAAAAAACCTCAAACTAGCAATTATAGTTTCTCTAATGATTGTTTCAAGCTCGTTCACACCGGTCCTTCCGGGAACTCGAAAGCTCACATGCCCGTATTGTCTCGAAAAACAAAAAAAATGTATTTTCTCGACCTAATCGTCATTTGTTTTTGTAAAAATCAACCCCGAGTCATGGCCATATGCGATGAGTTTTTATCATTGGGTCGTTTGCCATCGAACCGGGTCTAAAATTACTCACAACTTTGTGGACAATTTTTGGGCGAAAATCAACCTCGGCTCACGGTCGAGGCCGATGAGTCTCGTAGTTGTCACTTTAGGTCTGATTTAGGTCTCAAAAACCTCAAACCTGCAATTACGGTTTCTCTATAGATTGTTTCAAGCTCGTTCACACCGGCCCTCTCGGGAACTAGGAAGCTCACATGCCCATATTGTCTCGAAAAACTAAAAAAATGTATTTTCTCGACCTAAACGTCATTTTTTTTGAAAAATCACCCCAGTGTCATGGCCATATGCGATGAGTTTTTATCATTGGGTCGTTTGCCATCGAGCCGGGTCTCAAACTACTCGAACGTTGTCGATAATTTTTGGGCAAACATCAACCTCGGCTCACGGTCGAGGCCGATGAGTCTCCGTGGTTGTCACTTTGGCTATGATGTTGGTCTCAAAAATCTCAAACCAGCAATTACAGTTTCTTTATAGATTGTTTCAAGCTCGTTCACACCGACCCTTTCCGGAACTCGAAAGCTCACATGCCCGTATTGTCTCAAAAAACTAAAAAAACGTATTTTCTCGACCTAAACGTCATTTTTTTACAACAATCACCCCCGGGTCATGGCCATAGGGATGTGTTTTTATCATTGGCTCGTTTGCCATCGAACCGGGTCTAAAATTATTCAAAACTTTGTTGGACATTTTTTGGCAAAAATCAACCTCGGCTCACGGTCGAGGCCGATGAGTCTCTATGTTTGTCACTTTGGCTATCATGTAGGTCTAAAAAACCTCAAACTAGCAATTACGGTTTCTCTATAGATTGTTTCAAGCTCGCTCACACGGACCCTTCCGGGAACTCGAAAGCTCACATGCCCGTATTGTCTCGAAAAACAAAAAAAACGTATTTTCTCGACCTAAACGTCATTTTTTTTGCAAAAACCACCCCCGAGTCATGGCCATATGCGATGTGTTTTTATCATTGGGTCGTTTGCCATCGAACCGGGTCTAAAACTACTCGGGACTTTGTCGACAATTTTTTGGCGAAAATCAACCTCGGCTCACGGTCGAGGCCGATGAGTCTCCGTGGTTGTCACTTTGGCGATGATGTAGGTCTCAAAAACCTCAAACTAGCAATTACGGTTTCTCTATAGATTGTTTCAAGCTCGTTCACACCGGCCCTTATAGGAACTCGAAAGCTCACATGCCCGTATTGTCTAGAAAAACAAAAAAAAACGTATTTTCTCGACCTAAACATCATTTTTTTGCAAAAAACAACCCCGAGTCATGGCCATATACGATGAGTTTTTATCATTGGATCGTTTGCCATCGAACTCGGGTCTAAAACTACTCAAAACTTTGTCGACAATTTTTGGGCGAAAATCAACCTCGGCTCACGGTCGAGGCCGATGAGTGTCCGTGGTTGCCACTTTGGCTATGATGTAGGTCTCAAAAACCTCAAACCAAGCAATTACGGTTTCTCTATAGATTGTTTCAAGCTCGTTCACACCGGCCCTTCCGGGAACTTGGAAGCTCACGTGCCCGTATTGTCTCGAAAAACAAAAAAAAACGTATTTTCTCGACCTAAACGTCATTTTTTTTTCAAAAATACCCCTAGGTCATTGCCATATGCGATGAATTTTTATCGTTGGCTAGTTTGCCATCGAACCGGATCTAAAACTCGCTCGAACTTTGTCGACAATTTTTGGGCGAAAATCAACCTCGGAACACGGTCGAAGCCGATGAGTCTCCGTGGTTGTCACTTTGGCTATGATGTAGGTCTCAAAAACCTCAAACCGAGCAATTACGGTTTCTCTATAAATTGTTTCAAGCTCGTTCACACCGACCCTTTCGGGAACTCGGAAGCTCACATGCCCGTATTGTCTTGAAAAACTAAAAAAATGTATTTTCTCGACTTAAACATCATTTTTTTACAACAATCACCCCAGTGTCATGGCCATAGGGATGTGTTTTTATCGTTGGCTAGTTTGCCATCGAACGGCGTCTAAAACTCGCTCAAAACTTTGTCGGCCATTTTTTGGCGAAAATCGACCTCGGCTCACGGTCGAGGCCGATGAGTCTCTATGTTTGTCACTTTTGCTATGATGTAGGTCTAAAAAACCTCAAACTAGCAATTACGGTTTCTTTATAGATTGTTTCAAGCTCGTTCACACGGCCCTTCCGGGAACTCTAAAGCTCACATGCCCGTATTGTCTCGAGAAAGAAAAAAAAACATATTTTCTCGACCTAAACGTCATTTTTTTTGTAAAAATCAACCCCGAGTCATGGCCATATGTGATGAGTTTTTATCATTGGGTCGTTTGCCATCGAACTGGGTCTAAAACTACTCAAAACTTTGTCGATAATTTTTGGGCAAAAATCAACCTCGGCTCATAGTTGAGGCCGATGAGTCTCTGTGGTTGTCACTTTGGCTATGATGTAGGTCTCAAAAACCACAAACCGGCAATTACGGTTTCTCTATAAATTGTTTCAAGCTCGTTCACACCGACCCTTATAGGAACTCGGAAGCTCACATGCCCGTATTGTCTCGAAAAACAAAAAAAATGTATTTTCTTGACCTAAACGTCATTTTTTTTTGCAAAAATTACCCCCGGGTCATGGCCATTTGCGATGATTTTTTATCATTAGGTCGTTTTCCATCGAACTCGGGTTTCAAACTACTCGAACTTTGTCGACAATTTTTAGGCAAAAATCAACCTCGGCTTACGGTCGAGGCCGATGAGTCTTTGTGGTTGTCACTTTGGCTATGATGTAGGTCTCAAAAACCTCAAACTAGCAATTGCGGTTTCTCTATAGATTGTTTCAAGCTCGTTCACACCGACCCTTTCCGGAACTCGGAAGCTCGGATGCCCGTATTGTCTCGAAAAACTAAAAAAATGTATTTTCTCAAACTAACCGTCATTTTCTTACAACAATCACCCCCGAGTCATGGCCATAGGGATGTGTTTTTATCGTTGGCTAGTTTGCCATCTAACGGCGTCTAAAACTCGCTCACATGCCTATATTGCCTCGAAAAACAAAAAAAGTATTTTCTCGACCTAAACATCATTTTTTTTGCAAAAATCACCCCCGAGTCATGGCCATATGCGATGAGTTTTTATCATTGGGTCATTTGCCATCGAACCGGGTCTAAAACTACTCGAACTTTGTGGACAATATTTGGGTGAAAATCAACCTCGGCTCACGGTCGAGGCCGATGAGTCTCTGTGGTTGTCACTTTGGCTATGATGTAGGTCTCAAAAACCTCAAACCAGTAATTACGGTTTCTCTATAGATTGTTTCAAGCTCGTTCACACCAGCCCTTTCGGGAACTCGAAAGCTCACATGCCCGTATTTTCTTGAAAAACAAAAAAATTGTATTTTCTCGACCTAAACATCATTTTTTTACAACAATCACCCCCGAGTCATGGCCATAGGGATGTGTTTTTATCGTTGGCTAGTTTGCCATCGAATAGGGTCTAAAACTCGCTCAAAACTTTGTCGGCCATTTTTTGGCGAAAATCAACCTCGGCTCACGGTCGAGGCCGATGAGTCTCTATGTTTGTCACTTTGGCTATGATGTAGGTCTAAAAAACCTCAAACTAGCAATTACGGTTTCTTTATAGATTGTTTCAAGCTCGTTCACACCGGCCCTTCCGAAACTCTAAAGCTCACATGCCCGTATTGTCTCGAGAAAGAAAAAAAAACATATTTACTCGACCTAAACATCATTTTTTTTGCAAAAATCAACCCCGAGTCATGGCCATATGTGATGAGTTTTTATCATTGGGTCGTTTGCCATCGAACCGGGTCTAAAACTACTCAAAACTTTGTCGACAATTTTTGGGCAAAAATCAACCTCGACTCACGGTGGAGGCCGATGAGTCTCTGTGGTTGTCACTTTGGCTATGATGTAGGTCTCAAAAACCTCAAACTAGCAATTACAGTTTCTCTATAAATTGTTTCAAGCTCGTTCACATCGGCCCTTACAGGAACTCGAAAGCTCACATGCCCGTATTGTCTCGAAAAACAAAAAAAAATTATTTTCTCGACCTAAACGTCATTTTTTTTGCAAAAATTACCCCCGAGTCATGGCGATATGCGATGATTTTTTAGCATTAGGTCGTTTGCCATCGAACCGGGTCTAAAACTACTCGAACTTTGTCGACAATTTTTGGGCAAAAATCAACCTCGACTCACCGTCGAAGCCGATGAGTCTCCGTGGTTGTCACTTTCGCTATGATGTAGGACTCAAAAACCTCAAACCAGCAATTACAGTTTCTTTATAGATTGTTTCAAGCTCGTTCACACCAGCCCTTTCGAGAACTCGGAAGCTCACATGCTCGTATTGTCTCGAAAAACTAAAAAAATGTATTTTCTCGAACTAACCGTCATTTTCTTACAACAATCACCCCCGTGTCATGGCCATAGGGATGTGTTTTTATCGTTGGCTCGTTTGCCATCGAACTCGGGTTTAAAATTGCTCAAAACATTGTCGGCCATTTTTTGGCGAAAATCAACCTCGACTCACGATCAAGGCCGATGAGTCTCTATGTTTGTCACTTTTGCTATGATGTAGGAGTAAAAAACCTCAAACTAGCAATTACAATTTCTCTATAGATTGTTTCAAGCTCGTTCACGCCGGCCGTTCCAGGAACTCGAAAGCTCACATGCCCGTATTGCCTCGAAAAACAAAAAAAACGTATTTTCTCCACCGAAACGTCATTTTTTTTACAAAAATTACCCCGTGTCATGGCCATATGCAATGAGTTTTTATCATTGGGTCATTTGCCATCGAACCGGGTCTAAAACTACTCGAACTTTGTGGACAATTTTTGGTTGAAAATCAACCTCGGCTCACGGTCGAGGCCGATGAGTCTCTGTGGTTGTCACTTTGGCTATGATGTAGGTCTCAAAAACCTCAAACCGGTAATTACAGTTTCTCTATAGATTGTTTCAAGCTCGTTCACACCGACCCTTTCGAGAACTCGAAAGCTCACATGCCCGTATTGTCTTGAAAAACTAAAAAATTGTATTTTCTCGACCTAAACGTCATTTTTTTACAACAATCACCCCCGAGTCATGGCCATAGGGATATGTTTTTATCGTTGGCTAGTTTGCCATCGAACGGGGTCTAAAACCACTCAAAACTTTATCGGCCATTTTTTGGCGAGAATCAACCTCGACTCACGGTCGAGGCCGATGACTCTATGTTTGTCACTTTGGCTATGATGTAGGTCTAAAAAACTTCAAACTAGCAATTACGGTTTCTTTATAGATTGTTTCAAGCTCGTTCACACCGGCCCTTCCAGGAACTCTAAAGCTCACATGCCCGTATTGTCTCGAGAAAGAAAAAAAACATATTTTCTCGACCTAAACGTCATTTGTTTTTGAAAAAACCAACCCCGAGTCATGGCCATATGCGATGAGTTTTTATCATTGGATTGTTTGCCATCGAACCGGGTCTAAAACTACTTAAAACTTTGTCGACAATTTTTGGGCGAAAATCAACCTCGGCTCACGGTCGAGGCCGATGAGTGTCCGTGGTTGCCACTTTGGCTATGATGTAGGTCTCAAAAACCTCAAACCAGCAATTACGGTTTCTCTATAGATTGTTTCAAGCTCGTTCACACCGACCCTTCCGGGAACTCGGAAGCTCACGTGTCCGTATTGTCTCGAAAAACAAAAAAAAACGTATTTTCTCGACCTAAACGTCATTTTTTTTTCAAAAATACCCCTAGGTCATTGCCATATGCTATGAGTTTTTATCGTTGGCTAGTTTACCATCGAACCGGATCTAAAACTGCTCGTAACTTTGTCGATAATTTTTGGGCGAAAATCAACCTCGGAACACGATCGAAGCCGATGAGTCTCTGTGGTTGTCACTTTGGCTATGATGTAGGTCTCAAAAACCTCCAACCAGCAATTACGGTTTCTCTATAGATTGTTTCAAGCTCGTTCACACCAGCCCTTTCGGGAACTCGGAAGCTCACATGCCCGTATTGTCTTGAAAAACTAAAAAAATGTATTTTCTCGACCTAAACGTCATTTTTTTACAAGAATCACCCCCGTGTCATGGCCATAGGGATGTGTTTTTATCGTTGGCTAGTTTGCCATCTAACGGCGTCTAAAGCTGCTCAAAACTTTGTCGGCCATTTTTTGGCGAAAATCGACCTCGGCTCACGGTCGAGGCCGATGAGTCTCTATGTTTGTCACTTTTGCTATGATGTAGGTCTAAAAAACGTCAAATTAGGAATTATAGTTTCTCTATAGATTGTTTCAAGCTCGTTCACACCGCCGTTCCGGGAACTCGAAAGCTCACATGCCGGTATTGCCTCGAAAAACAAAAAAACGTATTTTCTCGACCTAAACATCATTTTTTTTGCAAAAATCACCCCCGAGTCATGGCCATATGCGATGAGTTTTGATCATTGGGTCATTCGCCATCGAGCCGGGTCTAAAACGACTCGGAACTTTGTCGACAATTTTTGGGTGAAAATCAACCTCGGCTCACGGTCGAGGCCGATGAGTCTCTGTGGTTGTCACTTTGGCTATGATATAGGTCTCAAAAACCACAAACTAGCAATTACGGTTTCTCTATAGATTGTTTCAAGCTCGTTCACACCGACCCTTTCGAAACTCGAAAGCTCACATGCCCGTATTTTCTTGAAAAACAAAAAAATTGTATTTTCTCGACCTAAACGTCATTTTTTTACAACAATCACCCCCGGGTCATGGACATAGGGATGTGTTTTTATCATTGGCTAGTTTGCCATCGAATAGGGTCTAAAACTCGCTCAAAACTTTGTCGGCCATTTTTTGGCGAAAATCAACCTCGACTCACGGTCGAGGCCGATGAGTCTCTATGTTTGTCACTTTGGCTATGATGTAGGTCTAAAAAACCTCAAACTAGCAATTACGGTTTCTTTATAGATTGTTTCAAGCTCGTTCACACCGGCCCTTCCGAAACTCTAAAGCTCACATGCCCGTATTGTCTCGAGAAAGAAAAAAAAACATATTTACTCGACCTAAACATCATTGTTTTTGCAAAAATCAACCCCGAGTCATGGGCATATGTGATGAGTTTTTATCATTGGGTCGTTTTCCATCGAACTCGGGTCTAAAACTCGCTTAAAACTTTGTCGACAATTTTTGGGCAAAAATCAACCTCGGCTCACGGTGGAGGCCGATGAGTCTCGTGGTTGTCACTTTGGCTATGATGTAGGTCTTAAAAACCTCAAACTAGCAATTACGGTTTCTCTACAAATTGTTTCAAACTCGTTCACATCGGCCCTTACGGGAACTCGAAAGCTCACATGCCCGTATTGTCTCGAAAAACAAAAAAAAGTATTTTCTCGACCTAAACGTCATTTTTTTTACAAAAATTACCCCCGAGTCATGGCGATATGCGATGATTTTTTAGCATTAGGTCGTTTGCCATCGAACCGGGTCTAAAACTACTCGGAACTTTGTCGACAATTTTTGGGCAAAAATCAACCTCGACTCACTGTCGAAGCCGATGAGTCTCCGTGGTTGTCACTTTCGCTATGATGTAGGACTCAAAAACCTCAAACCAGCAATTACGGTTTCTCTATAGATTATTTCAAGCTCGTTCACACCGACCCTTTCGGGAACTCGGAAGCTCACATGCTCGTATTGTCTCGAAAAACTAAAAAAATGTATTTTCTCGAACTAACCATCATTTTCTTACAAAAATCACCCCCGGGTCATGGCCATAGGGATGTGTTTTTATCGTTGGCTCGTTTGCCATCGAACCGGGTTTAAAATTGCTCAAAACTTTGTCGGCCATTTTTTGGCGAAAATCAACCTCGGCTCACGGTCGAGGCCGATGAGTCTCTATGTTTGTCACTTTTGCTATGATGTAGGAGTAAAAAACCTCAAACTAGCAATTACAATTTCTCTATAGATTGTTTCAAGCTCGTTCACGCCGGCCGTTCCGGGAACTCGAAAGCTCACATGCCCGTATTGCCTCGAAAAACAAAAAAAAGCGTATTTTCTCCACCTAAACGTCTTTTTTTTACAAAAATCACCCCGGGTCATGGCCATATGCAATGAGTTTTTATCATTGGGTCATTTGCCATCGAGCCGGGTCTAAAACTACTCGAACTTTGTGGACAATTTTTGGTTGAAAATCAACCTCGGCTCACGAGTGGAGGCCGATGAGTCTCTGTGGTTGTCACTTTGGCTATGATGTAGGTCTCAAAAACCTCAAACTAGCAATTACGGTTTCTCTACAAATTGTTTCAAGCTCGTTCACATCGGCCCTTACGGGAACTCGAAAGCTCACATGCCCGTATTGTCTCGAAAAACAAAAAAAAGTATTTTCTCGACCTAAACGTCATTTTTTTTGCAAAAATTACCGCCGAGTCATGGCGATATGCGATGATTTTTTAGCATTAGGTCGTTTGCCATCGAACCGGGTCTAAAACTACTCGAACTTTGTCGACAATTTTTGGGCAAAAATCAACCTCGGCTCATCGTCGAAGCCGATGAGTCTCCGTGGTTGTCACTTTCGCTATGATGTAGGACTCAAAAACCTCAAACCAGCAATTACGGTTTCTCTATAGATTGTTTCAAGCTCGTTCACACCGAGCACTTTCGGGAACTCGGAAGCTCACATGCTCGTATTGTCTCGAAAAACTAAAAAAATGTATTTTCTCGAACTAACCGTCATTTTCTTACAACAATCACCCCCGTGTCATGGCCATAGGGATGTGTTTTTATCGTTGGCTCGTTTGCCATCGAACCGGGTTTAAAATTGCTCAAAACTTTGTCGGCCATTTTTTGGCGAAAATCAACCTCGGCTAACGGTCGAGGCCGATGAGTCTCTATGTTTGTCACTTTTGCTATGATGTAGGAGTAAAAAACCTCAAACTAGCAATTACAATTTCTCTATAGATTGTTTCAAGCTCGTTCACGCCGGCCGTTCCGGGAACTCGAAAGCTCACATGCCCGTATTGCCTCGAAAAACAAAAAAAACGTATTTTCTCCACCTAAACGTCATTTTTTTGCAAATATTACCCCCGAGTCATGGCGATATGCGATGATTTTTTAGCATTAGGTCGTTTGCCATCGAACCGGGTCTAAAACTACTCGGAACTTTGTCGACAATTTTTGGGCAAAAATCAACCTCGACTCATCGTCGAAGCCGATGAGTCTCTGTGGTTGTCACTTTCGCTATGATGTAGGACTCAAAAACCTCAAACCAGCAATTACGGTTTCTCTATAGATTGTTTCAAGCTCGTTCACACCGACCCTTTCGAGAACTCGGAAGCTCACATGCCCGTATTGTCTCGAAAAACTAAAAAAATGTATTTTCTCGAACTAACCGTCATTTTCTTACAACAATCACCCCCGTGTCATGGCCATAGGGATGTGTTTTTATCGTTGGCTCGTTTGCCATCGAATTGGGTTTAAAGTTGCTCGAAAACTTTGTCGGCCATTTTTTGGCGAAAATCAACCTCGGCTCACGGTCGAGGTCG